TACGATATAATAATCGGTCGCGTTTTATCATTCAAATACTTATCGGTTTGTTCCGTCGTTAAAACCTTTTCAGGTGTATATTCAAATGAAAGGCAAGCAGAAATCACCGAGATTAAGGAAAACGAATGACGAATTTTAATAGTAATTATTTGAGTTACAACAATCGTCAACTATTATGTAAATCAAAAACGTGCCACAGGAATAGGACCGATAACATGATATTCGCATGCAGACTCAACTAAACCTAAGCGAAGTAGCGCTGTACACCTTAATGCACCTGATTAATTTGCTTTTTGAAAACCATAACTATGGTATAACAGGGGACGATTTAAAAACATCCATATTTTCTCATGCCCTCATGCACCCATAACGCTGATTCGTTGTAGCACTGTCGATTCTATTTTATAAATATAGATTTACCGTCCGTTTGATACGCTCCATTAGAATGCGTAAAAATATGTATACGAGTATGATACAATTTATAGTACATAAAATGTACACATGTGTTTGTTCGCTTTTATTACTTAATAACCAAATGTATTGTTTATGAAATTACATTTTCACACTAAACAATATACAATACACTATCCATTTCAATATCATGTGTATTATTATACTAATATTCTAGATTTTACAATGTTTATATGATGTGTTTTAAATCATCGATATCTATTGTTCTTAATTTTCCGGGTGAAACGAGGAATGTATTGGTTTTACCGTAATTTTGCAGTGTTTATTTTTTTTTTTTTTTATATGTGTTGTTGCGTGCCGTCGTTCAATCGTAACGATGGTTAAGTTTTTAGGATAATATTTCAAATAAAAATACTCAAATATAATTTAACTGTTTATTTAAGAATTTTTCTAAGTACAAAAACAATAATTAAGAAATGATCTGGCGTGAAGGTGCTTGCGACTACTCGTATAAACTACATCTGAATATTGGTCTGTTCCCAACCCCCTTATATACTTAGGTTTGGTGAGGATCAAACGTGCCGCGCTGGGCGATAGTTGTTTTCAACTATCTTAAATAATTTGTCACTAGTTCGTTATTTATCACCTAGATGACCTCGCTAATATTGCCATTCGCACATCTTTCATATTTGTCGCGACTTTTTCCCAATTACATTTCTAAATGTAACCATGCGATTCACATAAAATATATGTTCTTGTTTACCTTCTGACTTTTAACTAAAATTCCTTTCTATTCATACGAATGCGAATATTATGTTAATAATAATCATTTTCTTGATCTCTACTATTTATGATCTACGTGGTCCCATCCATGTCGTACGAGTCGTAAGGACCTACATTTATGTACGTCCGCAACAGTGTATACACTTTTTCGATCAGAAGGATTGTTCCAATCATCACCAAATAAAATATAAAATATAGAAAATGGGTTCTAGTTGATATATTCAGGTAATTTTTTAAATTTCTTAACAATATTCGAAATAATTGAAAAAAAAAAAAAAACTGAGAATTAAAAGTAAAATGTACGACATACCGGTGTACCCGCGCTTATTTACCGCATAAAACTTTACCCCCCCCCTCCCCGGTAAAAATTCACTAATGAAATTTTACCGATGTTTTTAATACACTAGGGTAAAATTTCACTAGTGAATAATTACCTCCCACAAATTTTGTCTTTGAAATGTATTAATATAAGTAATTAATTAAATAGAAATATACTATAATATAATAACCATTCAATATATTTGCAATTATACTCTATTTTTTCACAAAAACCTTTTGCAGTAGTTTAACCCATGTTATCCGTATGTTATTCCAATGTCGCATTGTAAATCAAAGATATTATAGGTAATCAGCAATCTTTAACGTTCTTATGCTGCACGGTTTGTTAATTGTTTTTCTTGCCAACCATACGTGTGAGTGTGTGTTTGTGTTTAATATATTATAGTAATTTCTAATTATATATAGCTTTCTATGCCCATATAATACAAAAAAAAAAAAACTAAAATGCTTAATTAGCTAAATCTTTCAATACTTGGTGGTGTCTGTTTCGGTAAGTTTTGCTGTACTTAATTACACATTGTTCCCTCATTGTATTATCTTACAATAAATCACTAAATTTCAACAACTTTTGAAGTTTGTTTGTACCTATATAAAATATGAGATTAATATGTATTTTTTTATATCTCTAGTTATTAATTCTATATAAATATGGAGGTATTTAAAAGATTTTATTGACATTAAAACAAACCATTGATATTAATCTGACATTAAATCTTAAATATTATTATATGCCATGACAGTTTCATTAATGGATGTATTCTTAGCGCGTCTAAATTACGGCATAATCAAGATATGACTTTGCCTATGGGTTTCAACTTACATATTGTGAAATATACAATTATTTATTTAAAAATTAAAATAGTTTTGCGGAAGAGCTGTTTTGCTATTGCTGTTTCAAATTGACTAGGCCAAAGGGCACTTTTGGTTGCAACCTCCTGGCTTCTATATTTGATATTGGTTATAGAAATAAAAAATAAATATATTTTCGTATATTTGTAGTTTTGTACCTGGTACATTATTATAAATTATGATATGGTTGATTTTATATAATAATATTTTAATACGAATTCATTATTTTTGTCTTGATATTTTAATCGTGGATATTTTATCCTTAGACATTTTTACCAGGAATTTCTATTGTTAGATACATACAAGACATATACGTTGAAATATTATTAGTAAATGTAAAATAAACAAATGATAATTATATTGTAAATCTCGTAGAGTATAGAGAAAAAATTATATAACCAGATTTTAAGATTGATTACACAAAATTTAGATTATTTTTTCATTCCCGAATTTGTCTTCATTGTGAACAGTTCGTCGTGAATAGTTTAATACGGTACCTATATATGTTTTGATAAAAAATTTTTTGGATGTTTATAAATAAAATTATTTTTTTTTTTTTAAATCATCTTACACATTATAAGTATTTTGTTTCTTTATTATTCTCTTATATTATATTTTAAACAAAAATATTATAATATATAAGACTATAAAAAAACTTAATAATGAATTTATTATTATATTAATAATGATTTGCTGTATGTTTGGAAAATATAAATTTACATAAAAATAATTATATAAATGTACAATTGACAAAAAAAAAAAATGAAAATGAAAATTGCAATTAGTTAAAAAATTACTATTGCACGCATTAGGTATTTAATTTATAAAAACAAGTATAAGGTTCAATTATCTTTTACTGTAAACTAAATATAATTTTTATCAATTTATGTGTTTTATTATTTTTATTATTTTTATTTTTAATTTAAATTACCTATTGTTCTTTATATTATGTATATTTGAGTCGTAAATAAAATAAATTTTACAAAGTTATTGCTATGTTATCTTAACCTTGACGGCTGGACATATTTTTATTATTATTATTAAAACAATTAGAAAAAAATAGAAAATATCATCATGAAATTTTTCCCCTTTTCCCTCCCCAGTAACTATTATCTAATAAAATTTTAGCCGTAAATATTTTACCTAGGGGTAACATTTCACCAGATAATAATTACTGGAGAGTAAAAAAATGTCATTAGGAATAATATATTAGGAAATATTAAAAATTTTTACCGCATACAATTTTACTCTCCTGATAAAAATTCACTAGTGAAATTTTACTCCCCCAGTAAAAATTTCACGGGGGTAAATAATTCCGGTCACACCGGTTTTCAATAGCATTGCGTTTTTGTTTTCATCGTAACTCAAAAGAATAATAATCATTGAATCAATTATATTATAATTGTATATTGAATTGCGAGAATCGCATTACATTCAAATTGAGTATGGTTCGATGAAAACCATTAGGGATAACGTAATGATACATATTTTTTCGGATAAGTGAATAAAATGTGAAAAGGAATAGAAAAATCATATTCCCCTGAAATTGTCTAAGGCATAATCAGAATCGTTGAAAAAATCTTCGGATGATAAAGATATTTGCGAATTTCCAATGCGATTCACAGACATATAGTAATAATATATAAGCCGTGGTTACATCGTTTACACAAAAATAATTCCATTCGATTTACTATCGTAGACGGATTATTATATTATTATTATATTTTTATATACTATTGTGATGAAGAATTAATCCGTTCGACGTTTATGCGCCGTACTAAGACCAGACGATATCGCATAATTGTTGAGTGGTTCTTTTTTTTGTAACGCTTGCATTGGATATTTTAGTATAAAGCAATATCAATAACAATAAATCCAGTTTAATATAAGTCACATTAAAACGTGTATAACCATGTCGTAATAGGAAATAGTTTAATATAATATAATATTTTCAAATCTAAGAAAATAATAGCACAATAATAATTTTACCATTGCTGTTAATTGGCGTGTAAGCCACAAAGAAGTTTGAACGACGATTCGAAATTCCGTGCTCCAATCTGTTGAACGAGTTAGATGTATTACCGTTTTATCGTTCTGCACTGACTTTTTTTATTGTAACGTCGCCATCAAAATTTTCTTTCGATACTTACACGTTTTATACATTTTTGTTATTAAACACATTCGTTCGAATTTACTTTACTAACATTCTGTAGGTCAATTGACAGAGCGAACCTACATTGGATCACCATCGAAACTCGTAAGATAAAATGAAAAACTAACAGTACTAACAAATCAATCAATACTAGAAATTATTTATTTATCTAGATAAAATTATCCGGATAGGTATATGGACCATTTTAGACGATAATCAAACAATCAGATAACTAGTGTCTAATATGTCTCGATAATAATAAGTCAAGGAAGCAGTATTTATATCTAACTTGATTATTTAGATAAATTCGTCTTGATACAGCTCAACGATATTTATTTCAAACGTTACATTGATTTATGTTGTTTGTTTACATTTATACGTTCGACAATATTTGACATTACCAATTGGATCGCTACGACCACGTAATGATCATTAATACAACATGCAATGGACTAACAACACATACCTGTAAATCGCCGTTTTTTCATATCTGTACCAGACTACTAGGATCACTGTGTCCAAGGGTTCATGCGGTATTGGTGGTGCGATGTCGCATGGTAACGACGCCGTCCCGTGAACGACAGCGAATATCTGACGTATCGGACCTGTAGAAAAAGAAAAAAATAATTAACAAACGTGAAAAATCAATATTTTGCAAAAAAAAAAAACGTAAACGAAAACATGGTAAGCACGATACAAGAACCTGTGGTGCGACGTACGTATACATGTATTATCAGACGCTCTAATGATTAACAATAGATCTCACGACGTTGATCATTCGATACGATATCGGTACTTCTTTTTTAACAAACGATAATTATGGAAAATATCACAACATCCAGACTCAAAACTATATATATAGTCGACGGACGTTAATATTAACGGCATCATGACGAAAACGGTCGATAAAATGGTGTAGATCATAAAAATGTAAATAATAGTATTGTGAGATGAAACGAAAATATTTACTATCGGTTTATAACGTCTGGTGAGTTCAAGAATATGAGTGACTTATTGAAATTACTAAAACCATTTAATAGAAACATTACGTAAGGGAAAGCATACAAGTGAATCAATGTAAATATATTTTATACTCGTTAAAAAATGGAGAACAAATCCTTCATTTTTTAACTACAGTCAAAAATCTATATTAGGTGACTTCAAAATAGAAAATTTTAAATGTGATATATGATTATTTATAATTTAGAGATAAACAAATAATTTTTTTTTTTTAAATACCAAATTTTTATTTTTTTCAATTCTATAATATATATTATACAGAAATATGTTATGATAATATTTTACGTTTGAAAATCGCTTTTATTAATCATCGTTTGTACGGTGTGAAATGAATATAGAGAAACATCGGATGGTATAATCTCAAATGATCACTGATAAAACAATATAGTAGCTTCAATCAAATTTAGCATAGAATACAAATAAGTACGGTCTGAAGGCTGCAATAATAGACGCATCAATTTTAATAAAACGAATGCATTGATGTTACATTATTCTTATTGTTATTCCACATTTATAGGAATATCATAACATGTTGACAATATTATTTCATTTTATCGAACTATCATCGTATACATAACTGATGATACAGTTTTTGTGTATAAGGGGTGGTGATGCTTAAAAGGGTATCACTTTAAATACTTCCAACGTAATTTCGAGATATTTTCTGCACTTATAAATCATATCAAAAATAAGTAAACTGCCAGGATAAATAGAATTTATTGAAGTTTTTATACTTTTATTTTTGGCGCGTAATAAATTCTCGAATTTATTTAAATTATATACTTTTGAAATACAACCAGTATTTTATATTTAGTTGCATTTATTACTTTTTAAATAATTGTCTGACGGTACGTCCATACAACTGGATAAAAATAAATTTCCAAAAACTTATTTTACACGTTTGACTCTTACTGCGTACAAGATTCGAAAACATTGTTTCAATAAAAGTTACCATGTGCGGTCGAGAAAAATAGAGTAACATTAATATTACGGAAAGATATAAGACTTTATATTAGTTGTTCAACAACCGAAATCGATTCGCTTGATTCGGCTATATTTGCACGATTGTGAGGTACAAAACAGAAACGAAATCTTAATCATCATGTCGTTGTCAGACATCCGTTGATAATCTGAACACCGAATATCTTGTTCTGTATATTATATCGGTTGAACAGTTAAGTATGTAGATCGGTACATGAGGACATTTTCACTTCCAGCTAAAATTTAGACTTGATATGGCGACAATCATCAGCATCATTATCTTCGTTGTTTTTTGTAATATACGTCAGCATCTGGTTAGGTTACGCGACAACGTTGACGGAGGGGGCACAATAATGATACACAGTAATATAGTGGTGATTTTACAATAACACAGAGCACGAGCACGCCATACTATTGTTAAAATTGGCAACAGCCACAAGACGTTGCCGCAATCGTACGAATCCAACTTGATAAAAACAAGTTTTTAACAATAGAAACAATAGCTATTAATCGTGGTTCTATAGCGCTGAAAATCTATTCCCATCAAGTTGAATAAAAACGATTAGTGCGACGTCTAGTGGCTGCGTCCACGCAACCGCAACTGATTTTATTAACAGGTCAACGTATCTGTTCATTACAAAATCGATGGTGATAAATGATTACCATTATTATTTGGCCCGTGCAGAAATCTAATAAGTACGTCGTTAAATAATATGTGGATAATTATATCGATCGTCCGACCATGATAAGATTATATATGTAGTATATTTACGACGATTCGAAAAGTAAACGTTCATTAAATAAATATAATTTAAAATAAACAATATTATAAAAACTTGAAAAGTTTAAAAATTAACAAAATTAACAATATTCTCAAAATCTATAAAAATGTAATTATACTCGTATGCAAAACATGTAAAAATATGAAAATAAAAAAGAGTTCCATTTAATCGACAGTACGCCGAATCGAGAACATATTGTATACCGATAAATTTAGACTTGAGGAAAAACATGGTAATTCATATAAATCCTAGCCTTAGTAATAATAGTATTACTATAATATGGGTCGATAGCGCGTTCATAATATTGATTAAGTACGTTCTATTCTCACTGTATTTATGTACCAGAATTGCATATGCACTGCGCCGTCGGTATTTATAGTTTTTATTCTTATCATTCGATATATTAGACTTATTACGCGGCAATATTGTTCAATATCTTATTAACGTACACAAAGTGAGTAAACAATCTGTTAGTGAGAATAAATTATCACTTTAATATAACGCGGGTTCATTCTCCCGTCATATTTGCTGCAACATTTTATGTTTATATAGGATTAACCACCGGATGTATTGTTTATATTTTTTAATTAACAGTTGAAATTACAAAAACAATAAGTTCAACCGTGGATTAAAATAGACTCGTTAAACAAATACAGACTTTCCAATGAATATACGTCAAGCATTATTATAGTATTGTTATATATTAAGTACGAATTGTAATCCATAGGGTATTATTATTAATTTTTCATTATTTTATTGTCCGATTAGAGAATTTATTAAATTTTAGTTCATTACACTTATTTACGTTAAAAATTTTATTATTTATTATTTTTATTATTATTTTTTAATTTTATTTTTTAGATAATAACTTAAACGTGTTTTTTATGTATAGTAGAACAGTCAAATTTAGTAAATATTTATGTGGTTCTTTAAAAGAAATATTAAGCATTCAAAATCAAAAAAAAAAAAAAAACATCTAAAAATAAACCGTAATTTGACCATTTACATACTTGTTTACCAAAATTAAATTATACTTTAATAAAATAAAATAAAATAATATATAGCTATAATATTAAAATTCAAATCATAATTTTAACCATATAATAATTTACTTCATATTTCTTAAGTCATAACGTGCGATCAATCTTTATGTTCATTCTGTAACACATTCTCTATAATTCATTAATAAGTTATTCACAAAATAAGAGAAATTTAAAATAACCATAAAAAGAAAAAACTAAAAAATTTTGATCGATCGCATAAAATAATATGGTACTTTCGATGACAGAGTTTCATTATCAAAACACTATTTAATGATCTGATTAGTTCATATAAACTGTATTTAGTGATTTGCTCCAATAGCTTACCGTGACAAGGCCGGATTGGACAAATTCGGCCCACCGAGTTTTCTGTATGTTACCGGCTCACTTAATAACTGGTGGCCCTTGTCCAAATTTTTTTAATCCCATATTTTAATAGATGCACTTATCTTCAATTTTGAACTATTAATATTTTCTGTTAGCGGCTTTTCACAACTTAAAAGGCCAAACATTGTCGGGGCCCACCGACTTTTGCTCGGTAACTCACCGGGCCAATCCGGCCCTGTACCATTGTAAAAAATGTTTGCGATATTATTTAGAATATGTACTACGTAAATAAATTTTACTCATTTTCACCGAAAAATGGAAATATCATTATTTTTACTTGGTAAGAATGTATAGGTAATCACGTGAAAATTACGTGACTCACGCATAACTAGTAGAACTGTATGCTTTGTGTTTTCTCGGTGTATTCGCAAAAGCAGGCGCGGATCCAACCTACCATAACGGGAGGGGTGGATTATAAATGAGTATACTCTATGTGTCGGCTGGGGCTGGCCGGCTAACGGTTGTCGTCGATCATACGGTTACAATAATATTGTTCTTATCGAATATTCATTAATTTAAGTTATAAAAATAAAACATGAAAATATGTGATAATAAAAATACATTAGAATGTTACTACGCAAGATAATGTAATTTAACAGTACATCAAATTAAAATAACACATTTTAATACGGCCAACGAGGGGGAAGGTCACCCTTACTACTCCCCTGGATCCACGCTTACGTAAAAGTGGTTTTCGTTATTATTTTTTCTCGTGCTGTGGTTGGATAATAGTTTAGCGTTTCATATTCAGTGTTATATAAGTTAAGTTACATTTGTGCCGGTTTCATTTTTCTTCGAAGAAATTACGAACTATGCTGACAAACATAAATGTTATTACTATTAAACGGAACAAGCTATGATAGAAAGAAAGAAAAAAAACCAATTGTTTCAGAAAATTAACTGTTTTTCTCTGATCATAACACTCGATTTTAAATCCCTCTTGGGGTTTTGGTTTTCGACAAATAGTATTAAAACTTTGTGTTTCCGCATTGGATTACATAACTTTTGATTATCACCGTTGTCGGCAAAACGCGTTTATAGTTTTTAATAGGTATATAAATAAATGCGACTTTCGTCTCATAATCGTCTTCGATACTGATTCATCTTCAAACCATATCGTGCTAAATATACCCAATATGTTTCGATGAAAACTTGTAATCAACTTTTCGGAAATTAATTTCGCTTCTAGTTGTATAATTAATTAAACACTAAATTAACACACTGAAACTAATCTTGTACCACAACTCATTATTAAATATTAACTGTAACTGTGATTGTATTTTTGGTCTTAATATTTCTCATCTATGTCAAAACGACGGAATACAAAATAATAAATGCACCGTAGCACCAGCATTCTCGATATCAAATAGTTTATTTAATTAGGTCTCTCAAAAT